TAACAAAATTAAACCCAAACCCAAGCATACCACTGCAAGACTTCATGATACTATAAGCTCGTTTTGCGTAAATCGGACCAAAAATTAATATTAAAACACTGAAGGTAGCCGGACTAACTATGACATTGGGACGTCAAACATCTCAGTCCCCCCCGTGACCATGGGCGCTGTAAAGCACCCGAAACGTCGGGATAATAATAAAAATAAATAAAAGTAATTAAACGCGATAAAATCCGTAAATAATAGTTTTATTCAATGAGATTGACTTCATTATGACGACCAGACGCCAACTGTTCAGAGATGTCTCGCTGATCGCAAGGGTGAAAACTGGCAGCGATCACCGAATGGTTAGAGGCACACTGAACCTAAACGTTAAGTTGGAGAGGTCTCGTCTAATGAAGTCAACGCTCCGTCCCCCTAGTGCTCTAATCCAGAATCCCGAAACCTTTCAGCTCGAGTTACGTAACCGCTTTCAGTGTCTAGAAGAGTGCAATGCAGTGGACGATATGAATGACAAGCTCGTGGAAACTGTCCATGCGGTCGGAGCTAAGTTCTGCAAGACCGACCGTAGAAGAATACAAAAGCTCTCAGATCACACTCTTAATCTCATGGCTGTTAGACGGGAGATGAGGCTGCAATTGTCAACTGATTTGACAGCATACAGGCAACTGAACAGACAGATCTCCAAATGCATGCGGCGAGACTTACGCAAATTTAATACTGCTCGTATTGAAGAAGCGATCGAGCGGAACCAGGGCTCCAAAATCTTTGTCAGAGATCTGTCTGCCAGTAAGAGCCAACTGTCAAAGCTGAAGACTGAGTGTGGCAGCATCGTTTCCGGGACACCTGAGATTCTGAGTGAGATTGAGAGGTTCTATGGGCAGCTGTACACATCATCGTTGGAGCCACACGCAACTGTGAGTAACGATCCAAGAGAGGGTCTTATCCGACACTATTCCGATGATATCCCGGACGTCAGTCTGAGCGAGATTAGAATGGCTCTCCAGCACCTTAAAAACGGCAGGGCCCCAGGCGAGGATGAAATTACAGCGGAGCTTCTGAAAGCGGGTGGAACACCGGTACTTGAAATCCTTCAGAAGCTCTTCCATTCCGTCCTCCATGGTGGCACTACACCAGAGGCGTGGAGCAGAAGTGCAGTGGTCTTGTTCTTTAAGAAAGGCGACAACGCTCTCTTGAAGAACTACCGACCGATTTCCATTCTGAGTCGCGTCTACGTGCTGTTTTCGAGAGTTATTACGAATCGTCTCGCACGCATACTCGATGACTTCCAGCCTCCCGAACCAGCCGGTTTCCGAAAAGGCTTCAGTACCGTAGACTACATACATACCCTTCGGCAAATTGTACAGAAGTCCGAAGAGTACAATCTGCCACTTTGCCTGGCGTATGTGGATTATGAGAAAGCCTTCGATTCCGTCGAAATTTGGGCGGTACTACAGTCTCTTCAGCGGTGCCAAGTTGACTGTCGGTATATCGAAGTGCTGAAGTATTTGTACCGTAGGGCGGCGATGGCTATCCGAGTACAGAACCAGAGTACGAAACCTATCCAACTGCAGAGAGGTGTAAGACAGGGTGACGTTATTTCCCCGAAACTCTTCACTGCTGCATTGGAAGACGTTTTCAAGCTACTGGACTGGAAATGATACGGTATTAACATCAATGGCGAGTACATCACTTACCTTCGATTTGCCGACGATATAGTCCTTATGGCAGAATCGCTGGAGGACTTAAGCACTATGCTCAATGACCTCAATTGTGCCTCCCAACGGATAGATCTTAAGATAAACATGGACAAAACAAAGATCATGTTTAATGTTCATGTCTCACCTATGCCTTTAGTTGTTGGGAGCACTAAGCTCGAAGTTGTTGACGAGTTCGTTTACCTGGGACAAATAGTCCGGCTAGGTAAGTCCAACTTCGACCGAGAGGTCGAACCAGTGCGTGTTGCCAGTGATAACATATGGAACTGAGACGTGGTCCTTCACTGCTGGCCGTATGAGGACGCTCAAAGTCACTCAGCGAGTTATAGAGAGGCCTATGCTCGGAGTTTCTTTGCGTGATAAACTTATAAATGAGGATATCCGCAGTAGAACCATAGTGACCGACATAGCCCAACGGATTAGTAAGCTGAAGTGGCAATGGGCCGGCCGTATAGCTCGAAGAACCGACAACCGTTGGGGAAAAAAGGTTCTCGAGTGGCAGCCTCGTACCGGTAGACGAAGTGTAGGGCGACCCCCCACTAGATGGAGTGACGATCTGGTAAGACATGCAGGAAGTCGATGAATGCAGGTGGCTCACGACCGTGCTTTGTGGCATACCTTGGGGGAGGCCTATGTTCAGCAGTGGACTTGTAAAGGGCTGTAATGATGATGATAATGATGCTTACGTAATTTCAGATTCCCCAATTCAAGCTTATTTTTCACAAAATCTCGATAAATATGAAAATTTCAAAATGACATAGTTGACCTTTATAAATTTTATGTGAAATAAATAAACGTTCTTTAAGTAACATGAATTTTAACATTCCTCTTATTTTTCTTCGCATACTTTCCCTGAGTACTCCTCATTGCTAGTCTCGAGGCGAAGTTGAAAACGATAAGCCTGGAATGTTTTGAAATATTGTTTTAAACAATATTCTGCGTCCATTTGTAACTTGCTCTCGTGTACTATATTGATTTTCAGCGTCTTTTATTTCTTAAACCGAAAGAGAACTATTTGTAGAGTCTGGGTTTTCGTTTCTATTAAGGAAATTTAGCCCTTTCTTTTTTATTTGATCACACTAAGTCGTCAAGTATAAAAATAATCTTGTCTGTAAAACCTGAACTTGTGAGTCGCTGGAGTCAAACATTTGTGTAATGAACATCATTATTCGCATCTTATTCGGACGTATTGTACGTGTATCTATCGATACCCCAAATTTGGAATCTAATGACGACCTGGTAAAGATTGTCGTTCAATATACGTTGATGAGCCACGTTACAGCTATATTGTCCTTGTAGCACGAATGTGTCGGCTCAACCGTGGAAGGACAACGCTCTTACACAATACTTGCCTAAATTAGCAGCTTACTGCTGTGCTTCGTGTGGTTTATATAGAAAACAAGAGGCCCTTTTAACTACAAATAAGGCATTCAATTTTAGTCCTTAGGAGTAACAAAGCGTCTTCATTTTGATTCTTAATTGAGGACAAATGTTGTTGTCTGTGGGTCACAGTATCCACAAGTCTATTCAAGTCCAGTAGTGGAGGCCGCCGTACACTCCGCTTATCGGTACTATCCGACATCCTTTTTTCCTTATCGGTTGCATCGGTTGACAATTCTTAGAGCTATATCATGATCGGCCTATTTCCAATTCAATTTATTTTTCATAATAAGCTATTTTAGCTACCTTTGTTCTGCTGCAGAAATATTACGTAATTTAGAGACTGAAACCTGAGCATAGCCCTTCGTAGCCCGCTAAGTGACTATAAGCTTGATCAGTTTCAATTATCAGTGGCAACACATTGGATGTACACTTCAATTTTAATCTTTAGAGATATACAGGCCGCGAAAAATGGTTACAATTTGCTGAATGTGCCGCGTAATCAAACTCTACAAAAAGTGAAGACCAATTTCATGGAATTAAGCAAATACCTACCACATAAATTAATAGCTTTTAAAGTCAGTGATGATACATAATGTATCGGGCTCGCGTATCGGTTTTCACTATTATTAAAAAAACCCTTTTAGTGGACTATGGAATAGTAAAATCGTAATGACGTCTATATAGTTACATCAATAAATACATCTCTTGTTTTCCCACCATTTGTGAAGAATTATTAAAATAAGATTTTTTTTTAATTTACTTCACATTCTAATGATGAGGCTTTAATTTTTCTACACAATGCTTTTTAGTGCAGACTTCAGCATAAATAATTATTTTATTCTTTTTAGTTCTTTAAATTCGGTTTTTACTTTTTACTACCTACGAGTTAATTTTTCTTTAACAAAGTATTTATACGTTTACTAGTAATTTTTTTAGAAAACCGGTTCACAAATTGGTGAATATATAGCGCAACATGCAAATATACAGACTAATTGAGAAATAAAATGGAGAAGGTCCTTTTTTGAAGTCAGCTAAAAATAAAGGTTACATAAAAATATACGACGGCCATAGAAACTAATTGTATTATCTAGTGAGAGCCGGTGGACAAGAGATTTTGTACATCGAGCTAAAAATAATTTTCCGAGTCCTCCGCTGACTACGTGCTTTAACAGAAATTTGCATTTTTAGAATTCAAAGTATCGCTTTTGTTATTTTTTAAAATAAAGCTTGATAAATTTTACGATATTTATTGAAAATTATTTGGATGAGATTCACGTTGCAACTATACTATCTGGAAAGAAAGGTTTTGAGAAGGACCATGTTCTTAGTGTGAAAGAGCAGCGTAATATTGTTGTGTTTCGTGAGGTGAGTGAAGAGAATTGGGGACTTTTTAACTGTGATTTATTTACTTACAGTGTACCCTAAAAGCCTTAGTATGATGCCACATGAGTAAATAGCAAAATGTGTATGTAACGCGCACAAAGGATCGGTGAGATCAATATCCCCCATCTACAATGAATGATAAATAGAAAAACAAACTAAAAACCCCGAACCGGAGTTAAAGCTAGATGTATATTTTCATGGGCCACAGCATCTTTTTACCATTAGGCGGAATACTCATGTGTCAAAGTTAAAATATAACATGAAATTAAACATAATACTAAACTTTAAACAAACATTGATTACAATAATAATTCATTCAAAAGGAATAAGATATTTTGAATTCACAATATTCCAAAGAACATAAGGCTTTATCAGAAGTTGACAATTGTTTTCATTTAATTATCATAACTGTGATCGATTAAAAAGTGAAAAGAATCGAGGGAAAATGTCCATTGAAAACAATCGCTTGATGGAACGCAACGCAGCTATGGCGGATGTATCGATCGACGCGTCCAGTCGGCGCTTAACTTCGGTGCGGGGCACACGCACGTGCTCGCGTCGGTGTTCCTAACCTGTGCTGTGGAAAGTCTCGTACTTGGCTGTCAGCTGCCAACTCTACAGCGGTAAGTTGTAGCACTGGCGTATATTGTCTACAAGAATTACCGAACTGAAAAACTAGCTACTTAACGTCAGAATTTTTAGACCATTAAGCTTTATATGCAGCTACTGACGAATGTGTATTTTGATATTAAATACTTAATTATTTTACACATACAGATTAGGTTTATACCTGGTGGAACCATGCTGCAGCTATACAAAACAGACACTTGGGAGCTTTACTCTTGCATTAGAAATTATAAACTATTGATAATTGTAGCACGAATGGGTGGGCTCGACCGGGGAAGGACCACGCTCTCACAGAGTACCATAGTCAAATAGCAGCTTATTGATGCTGTGTTTCGTATAGTGTAGAAAACCCTTTTGATATATGCAAGGTATAGTATCTTAATATTTTTATCGAGAATAGATGTAAATGTCTTTGGTTGTTTGGATATGCCTTTGTCACTTACCTTACTTCACGTGGACTGTGTGCTGTTTGTCAACTTTATTTTATATTAAAATGATGGGTTAGGTTAGTGTAGTCAAGTAAATGCACAATGTGTAATTAATAAATTTATACACTAACAATTTAACAACATAGAGTCCATTTATAGAGAAAGTATTCAGTTAAGCACTTTATCAACTTTTTTATAGCCCACGGCTACATAATTAAATATAATCATTATTTAACCCATCGGCTATTAAAGTACTTACTTGAAAAGATATTTTCAGCTTTATAAGTCGTATACATAAAATTTAAATTCAAATGACTGACATTTATAAAAAGGTCAAAATTAAATACCTGAAGCTTTCAGTTATATGGGACGAGATTTGAAAGGTATATGTAAATAGATATTTATGGGCTTAGTCATTGTCAAATTTACTTCAGAATGTTTTGCTAAGTATAATATATAATTATGTCGCAATTTAATTAATTTAAACAAATTTTATATTCCAATGGTCGTAACAAAGATTTTAGGGGGGAGTAAAGTTCTTTCTCATTAATCCTCAAACTTTACGTGGTCCTCTACCGTAGTAATTATTTGTAAGATTTGTCTTTATTCGAGCTCTACTACCTAGTAAAAGCATCCATGTTTTAGTTGGGATTCGAACCCAGGACCCATAATGTACCAGATACTCTGAACATTCCATGATAAATCCAATGCTGTTAAATACGATAGAGAGATCATAACGCGGCTGTGACTTTTTTGTTGATTGCAGGTGTATATGCGCTTTGTGGTCTCATCATCGTCTAGGTTTGAATTATTTTTCTGCACAATAGTCCGCCTGTATAGGTAGGTAACCAGATGACGTACGCTATGAAGTACTTCATGTGTTTACGTGATAAAGCTACGCTACGGCGAGTTATGGCTGCAGCACGAATGGATCAATATATCTAGAGGAGAACCAAGCTCTCACGGAATACCATTATAAAATAGCAGCATAATACTGCTGTGCTTCATATGGTGAGTGATGAGAAGCCGCGACCCTTTAATTTGTAACGAGGCATTCGATTTAAGCCTCAGGAGTGACAACGAGGATTGATGTAGGTGTCTGTAAGCCACAGTATTCACTTACCATCAGGTGGTCTGTGTACTCGTTTGTTATCTTTACTTCAATAAAAGTAAGCCCTGTATATGAGATAAAAAAGCGGTACAAAATTTATTTTTAAACCTAATATAAGAAAAAACGTGGAAAATATATTAGGTTTGATATAAAGATGGATGATATGTGGCGCGCAATAGCGATCATTTATAAGGAAATCGGATTACACAGGGGAGTGTGCAGTACATGCCGTGTAAGCTCATAGGATTTCGGGTCGTGTGCACTAGTCTGAAGCCGATACATTGTCTCAGTTATCGTAATGTTAATAGAGCATATGTGAGAATAGATTACATGAAGGCGTTAACAAGCATCTATAGTTAAATTCTTACATAATACAATAAACAAAATAATTGATGTCTATAAAAATACATCCGTTCACTGTAAAAAGAAAATAACTATTTGGCTTAAAATCTTAAGTAATAAAAAGAAATGAGGCTTTACTAGTTAAAATTATTTGATAAAAAGTGCACATAAAAACACACACAGACACACATTGTGTCTCCTCTTTCACTGGATTTCTTGCTGATTCATCCCAGGACAGAGGGTTTTTACCCAACCAGTGGTAAAGTTCAAATGACTTTCACTAAGTATGCTTATAATCTATATTAAATAAAAATGAGTCTATTATTTTCTTTATATGCGCATGTGAATCTTATACTAATATTTAAATAATGTAGATTAATAATGTTAGAGTCGCGGTAGTTCAGAGGCTAAGCGCTCGCTGTAAATTTCACAGTACACGAGTAGCCCGGGTTTGAACTCCGCCGGCACCGATGAGATTGTTAGTTGCAGTTTCATTGACCACGCGCTCGAAACGTGCACGTGCTGTGAAAGAAAAAATCGTGAGAAACCCTAATATCTGAGAAAAAAATTTTCGATGACAAGTAAGTAAATATGTTTTCATCATAATGGAGCTACGCCGCAGCTGCCTTACGGTTGCGGCACGGATCGGTCGGCTCGATCGGAGTAGAACCACGCTCTTACATCAGCGTGGATTATCAGCTTAATGCTCCTGTGTTTCGTATGGTATGTTAAGAACCGAAGACCCTCTTTAACTTGTAATAAGGCATTCTCACCATTACTTAAGGAGCCTATAACTTTACTTTACTTAATCAACCACATAAATAACGTCCTCCAGATCGATTTTAGTCACGGCGGCCAGTCTCAACGTAGACTAACCATATGCGCAGGAGAGAGATTACATTGCGATTACTAAAGCACTCTCTGTTCTAACTCACATAGTCCGATGGGTAATCCGACACGACTGGAGAGCGATAAGGCGCAAGACGGCTTCACGGGCTTTCGATGCAATGGAGTAAAACACAGGCAACTGTCTCTGGGCTACTACTAAAAATTTGATGATAGAAAGTACTCAATAACTGATTCCGGTCTGACCGCAGTTACGACCACTAGGCCAACGGGCCAGTCATTTAAGAAAATGTAAGAATGAAATGAAACGATTGCAATAAAATTAATGAAATGAAGTGAATGAAACGAAATGAAATGAATGAATAAAATAAAATGAATGAGTGAAATGAAATTAATTAAATAAAATGAATGAAATGAAATTAAATGAATGAAGTGAAATGAATGAAATGACCGAAATGAATAAAATGAAATTTATAAAAAGAATGAAAGAATGTAATGGATGAGATGGATAAAATGAATGATTTTTCAATATAGATTATTACATAATACTTATTGAAAGTCATTTTTAATTTACAATTTATTAATTATAGCCCTTTACAAGTCCACTACTGAACATAGGCCTCCCTAAGAAATGCCACAAAGCACGGTTCTAGGTCATCTGCATCCATCGACTTCCTGCATATCTTATAAAGTTGTCTCTCGAGAACAAAGAGTAGAATAATTCACTTTAATATTAAGCTATAACTTTTAAAACGTTAACTTTAATTTTTAATCTTAAATATTTATAACATTTTTAATCTAAGAGTAAATACTTATACTGGTTTATGTATAGGGTGGTCCAACCAAAACGCAAGATGTTAATTGTAAATAAAACAAAAAGTTTCCAGAGAATTACCTTAATACTTTTCATTATGATAGAAGGATCTATGAAAATCATACGACCAAATGCTCGCCACGGCTTCGGCGGCATACTTCTATCTGATGGTCCATATTTTCAATGACTTTGAGACATAATTGAAGTTCAATTTCGTTAATGTCTGTCTGTATATTATCTCATCCTTTAGTTCTCGAATTCTCCTTAGCTTATTGACGTACACTTTTTCTTTTAAATATCCCCAAAGAAAGAAGTCCAACGGTGCGGAATCACATGATCGTGGCAGCCAATTATCATCGCCACGACGCGACGTGAGATAACACGGCCATTGAATTTCTGGCGCAAAAGAGCCATTGTTTTGTTGACTGTGTGGCAAGTGGCACCATCCTGTTGGAACTACATATCGTCCAGATCCGTATCCTCAATTTCTGGCTGCAAGAAGTGCGTTATCATCTATCTATAGCGAACACCATTCACGGTAACTGCTTGGCCAACGTCATTTTCGAAAAAGTACGGCCCGACGACGCCGCCATCCCATAGACCGCACCAAACAGTGCACTCTAGTACTAGTAAACACTCATTTGCCCAAATGCTTGCTGCATTTGGGCAAATGAAATTCTGCTTGTTAAGGAATCCACTGAGTTGAAAGTGTGCCTCGCCGCTGAAGATTATTTTCTTTGTAAAGTCACCATTCACTTCGGCCTGTTCCACCAACTATTCGGCGTATTGACGACGCTTGAATTGGTCAGCAGGCTTCAGCTATTCAGTCAATAGAACCTTGTAAGTGTGTAAATTCAAATCTTTATTCAAAATTCGCATCAATGTTCGATGAAAATATGGACCATCGGATAGAAGTATGCCACCGAAGCCATGGCGAGCATTTGGTCGATATTTTGTTTCACACATAATTCACATAGATCCTTTTATCAATAAAATATTAAGATAATTCTCTGAAAACTTTTTGTTTTATTTACAATTAACATCATGCGTTTTGATTGTACTACCCCATACTTTTATTTCATATTTTAATTAATTTATTATATGATATGTAACCATTTACTGTTTACATTAATATTAATAATCCAAAACATTAAATAAATAAATTTTTTTTGACAAGTCATCTATATTAAAACGTTAAGGAAAAACTTGGTACCATTTTAAGCATATTGCGCACACGGAAGTCTGTGAGATATGGCATAATTAAAATTTGCGTAGAGGAGTGAAGAAAGCTAAAAGTTATTGAAACTATGTCTTACAAATATACGTACCTACATTCGATATATATGTACTACGCACTAGATTTGGCATTCCGAACACTCACTATGTTCAACTGAACTGTATAGCTATCCGTACACCTGTTATTGTGGCTTCGATATTCATGCAGTGCGGAGCGGC